AATAAATAAATCTCCATAGACACTTAACGGTGAACCAGACTAGACGGTATGAGTTTAAATTCTATCTTCCGCTTAAATTTAGACAACCCAACCCTACCTTGACTTGAGCTCTTTCCGAAAGTAACTGATATGTTGATACGAATTATTAACCCTTACCCACCTTAATTAAACAATTGCTCCAGCCGTTTCCATAGTAATTTAATTTTAATAATGAATATGCTTATAAAGACGCGTAAACTTCAAAATGAGTTATTCCTAAAATTTCGCTTGAAGATGAAACAAAGCTTGGTACTTTAATTCAATTTAATTCTATTAATTATATTGAAATTTTCAGCTCTGGTTTTTGAAACATGAGAATTATGTAGTGAAGGAATCATATTTTAAATAAATAATTATATATATATATATATATATATATATATATATATATATATATATATAAAAGTGAAAATTGAAATCAACACTTAGAGGCGACAATCTGTTTCATGCTAGATGCAATCGTCAGTGTTGCCACGAGTGCTGTTATTTTTTTCTCATTGGTATTTATATATACTGGTCAATGGGGGGCATTGTGGGTAGTCTATTATTTATTTGTTTATTTATTTTGGTCTGCGGTAAAAACCGAAAGTCGTTTATGTTGCTTTTTATTTACACACGCTCTATTTATTTGGGTTCAATAAGACTATGTTTTTCATATATATATATATATATATATATATATATATATAAAATAACCGTACCGGTTGAAATCTTGTGCCTTTTCTAATCTGTCCGAATGTTGACTTCAGCTTAAAGTGTGTGCGTTATGTATGTTCAGTTTTAGTGATGTTTTATTTTACGGTTACACATTATGGCTTTGCTCTATCTAAGATGCTTTTTTCTTTTTTATTATTAGAGCATTATTTTTATCTTTTTTTTTGCCATAAATATGTGTTTTCTACTAGTACCTTAAGTTTAAATGTTTCTGATGGAGCTGTGATCAGATATATATATATATATATTTATAGTCCGGCTTCAGGAGGAGGAGTTCCTTAAAGGGCATTTCTTAAATATACAAGAAAAATTAAATAAAAATATATACCTTGTCTGTCGTTTTATATATATATATATAAATATATATATATATATATATATATATATATATATATATATATAGAGAGAGAGAGAGAGAGAGAGAGAGCGTATCAAAATACCTTTGATAAAATTTAGTAGCGGTTTCATCAATTCTAAAACGAATCTATGAAGATTTTTCCGCAAATACTTCATTTCTGAGTTTAAGTTTAAATATCTACGTTGGATGTCGCTTCGTTGCCATGAAGACTCAATCCATAGTTTGTGGTATCACGAATCGGTCTCAGCAACGCGACGATAAACAGCAGCAAAGATTGGATGAGTCGAATGCCTTCAGTCTGAAAATGCAATCTGATACAGACGTGCAGCCGTATCCATTCGTGTGACCGTATGGAAAATTCATGTCCGCTCACGATATGAACATTCTGCCATTGTTAAACGAAATATTTCTCAGTTAACTCACTAAAATACACGTTAGACGTTGAAGAGAGATTAGCCACAAATTTACACGAATGACAAATATAACCTAGTCTACATAGCAACACTTCTGAAAAAAAACTTCTTTAAACTTAACAACTCAAAAACGAATGATATGCGGACAACTACCCTCTCACCCAGCACATTGAATATTAAACTAAACATCACCATATAAATTATCCAATAAGGATTACAAATTTCTACCTGTTACATATACACAGTCACCAAAAACAAACAAATAACCAGCTTTAAATATAACATATAAACCCCTATTTTTTTTTTCAAAAATTTAAAAATAAATAATAATAATAATTTTTACCTATCATAATTTTACACAAACCCCACCACACGCATATACATACATGCGAGGAAATATTTTTCAGCGCGAAAACACTTAATATGACATGTATACAGTAACGAGACATTTCCGCCACACTTCCAATGTTTAAATTTCAACATTTCAACATACAAATGCGTATGTATAGATATAACACCACCCGTATACATACATGTGTCATAGCCGAAACTGCCCACATATGTTTATATATGTATGAGTCCCGACGGACGACCAAGTATGTATATGTGTCTGCATACATCGATTTTGCGTTAGTACGATGAATGGCCAAACGACGAAATTTCCCCCACCACTTCCACAATAACACCGATACACGCAATCTACATAAACCCAAATTTTTTAAAATATTAATCAGTTTGTCTGACGATCGCTAAAGCGTGAAACCCAGGGTCACAAACTCACATCTATCCAACCAAATATGTTAGCTCTATCTCTGATATTGAGCGCTTTCTAATAAGTACCGCGCATATAATATATAAATAATTATACATACATATATTTATTTATATTTATATACACTTTTCACACACACACACACACACACACACACACACACACACACACACACACACACACACATATATATATATATATATATATATAATTTAAATATTAAATATTTTTAATATTTAAATTATATACAGGTGTAACACCAAAATTGTCCAAATCGTGAAACAGCATGAGCTAATTGCCAATCCTACAATATGTTTAATATCTAAAAAAAATACGAAACTAATTGAGTTTCAGCTTTCCAGGTTTTCAGATAAGACATTTAGCCATCTTGACAGCATCTCTCGTAAGAATCAGTGAAAAACCCTTTAAGGTATTCAGCTAGCTGAATACCTTAAAGGGTTTTTCACTGAGAACAGGTTAAAAACGTTTTGTGCCAGCCACACTATGTCTTTCCGACTGAGCAATGATGAGAAGAAAAAGATCATTCTGGTCTTCAGTAATGGTACCAACATTCATACTCAGGCTTCCATCTTCAAAGTCTATTCAAAAGCCATCAAGAGAATGGTGAATAAGTTTACAAAAGAGGGAGAGAAGAAACCTGGCCCAGGAAGTCATACCAGCAAGAAGGATCGTCATTTCAACTTAGAACTAAATACATTCTTATTATTCATAGTGGAGTTCAATGGTGTTACAAAATCGAAGAATTCCAGTAAGATACCTTGAATCATTTCTAAGATATAACGGTTCAGAGTTTAACCTAACAATTGGACAATTTTGGTGTTACAGGATTTGGACAATTTGTCTGTTACACGCGGTATATATATATATATATATATATATATATATATATATATATATATATAATTTCGTGACCGAAGAATAAGAAAATGTTTATCTTCTGTTTTTCCTTTTTTTATTTTCCTCTTTGTCAGATTTGTCCTTCTTTCCTTCCTTTCTTCCTTCCTTCCTTCCGCCTTTCGTTATTCCTTCCTTCCTTCCTTTCTTCCTTCATTTTCTTTCTTTCTTCCTTCCTACCTTCTATTCCTTTCTTTCTTCCTTCCTTCCTACCTTCCTTTTCTTCTTTCCTTCCTTTTTTCCTTCCTTCCTTCATCCCTTTCTTTCCTTTCCTTCCTTCCTTCCTTCCTTCCTTCCTTCCTTCATTCCTTCCTTCATTTATCTTTCTTTCTTCCTTCCTACCTTCTATTATTTCCTTCCTACCTTCTATTCCTTCCTTCCTTTCTTCCTTCATTTTCTTGCTTCCTTCCTTCCTTCCTTCCTTTTCTTCCTTCCTTCTTCCTTCCTTATTTTACTCTTTCCTTTCTTTTCTTTTTTTCGTATCTCACCATCCATTTCCATGTCCTTCCTTACACCCTCCAACTGTCCCTTCTCCTTTCCTTCCTCCCGCCCTCTATTCCTTCTCCCCTTTTCTTCCTTACACCTGCCCATCCTCTCAGACTTCCTTCATTCCTTAATTCTTTTCTTTCTTTCTTTCTTTCTTTCTTTCTTTCTTTCTTTCTTTCTTTCTTTCTTTACTCTTTCCTTTCTTTCCTTCTTTTTGTATCCCCGCTATCCCTCTCACACGTCCTCACTTCCTCCCTCCCAATTATCTTCCTCCTTCTTTCCTTCCTTATTTATGCCCCCCCACACATCCTTCCTTCCTTCCTTCTTTCTTTCCTTCCTTCCTTCCTTCCTTCCTTCCTTCAATCTTTCCTTCCTTTACTCTTCTCCTTCTTTCCTTCCTTTCATAATCGCACCATCCCTCTCACACGTCCGTCCTTCCTTCCAACATCCCTCTCTTCTTTCTACTCCTTTTCTTCATTCCTTCCTCCCTCCCTCCCATCTTCGTTCTGTATCTTTCCTCTCTTCTCCCGCCCTTCCTCTCAGACGTCCTTACTTCCTTCCTTTACTCTTCTCCTTCTTTTCTTCCTTCCCATCCCTCTTACACGTTCTTCTATCCTCTCACCCTCCCCCACTTCCTTCTCCTTCTTTCCTTCTTCCATCCCTCTCTTCCTTCTTCTTCTTTCTGTTCTTACTCCCACCCTCCCTCTCACACGTTCTTCCTTCTTTCCTTCCTTCCTTTACTCTTCCCCTTCTTTCTTTCCTTTCATAACCGCACCCTCCCTCTCACACGTCCTTCCTTCCAACACTTCTCGCTTCCTTCTCCTTTTTCCTTCCTTCCTTCCTTCGTCCCTTCTTGTCTTCCTTCCCCTTCTCTCCTCCTTTTTCTCGCCCTCCTTCTCATACGTCCTTCCTTCCTTCCTTCCTTCCTTCCTTTACTCTTCCCTTTCTTTCTTCCTTTCAAAATCGCACTATCCGTCTCAAACGTCCGCCCTTCCTCCCTCTCTTCCTCTCTTTCTTCTTTCCGTCCTTACTACCGCCTTCCCTCTCATACGTCCTTCCTTCCTCCCCTTCCTTAAAGCCCCCCTCTTTCTCTCCTTCCTTTACTCTCCACCTCTCTTCGTTCATTTAAGCACCCACTCGACGTCCCTTCCTTTTACTTTTTCATAGAGACTTCTCCAAAATATGGCCTCCATTATTTTTTTCCGTCTATTTTCTGTTGTCTGTTCTTCTTTGCATCCGAACATCAAATTCTTTCTTTCTTCTCATGCCAGGAAATGATTAATTAACTCAGCCGCCTATTTTT